AATAAGGGAATATTTATTCTGGTCTAAAAAATCTTATTTTCATTTCATATATAAAAACTGGAAAAGTGAAATTTAATATTAAATTTAAAAATAATGAAAAGGACTAAAACAAAACTTAAGTGTGTGTATATATATACACCACACACATACACACACACTTCTTATAACTACTGTACTTTTGTAGTAAATCAAATTTTCACATTAAAAGTATAAGAGTCATTCCAAACACATTTAACTTCAAAAAGGAAAAGCTATTTAGTTTTTTCCAGTAGAGAAAGAGGTTGAATAAAACAGTTTTGTTTCTTTAACTAAAAGCCATTTTTTATTTTTTTGCTATAAAAGCAATTTTCCAACAATAAAAATGAAATTTTTAAGAAGCAATTTCTATATATTTTTCTAGATATATACCAGAGCAGTTCCACAGCAAATTATACACTGGTAAAAGGACAGCCAATTTTTTTATACAATAGAGTTTTTGCTTTGATATTTCTTTTCTATTATAAGTAAGAGTAGGGAAATGTTTAAAAATAGAATCAGAACCTTCAGCTTCAGAAATATTTATTTCTTCCTAAACAGCCTATTACTCTCATTTTCTGTATAAAAAATATATTTATACGTTGCAAAATTTTAAAATGTTATATATTTAAACTTTTAACTTAAACATTTCTTAAATGCTTTTTTGCAATATTTTATTTTAATAATGAAAGAAATATCTATTCAAATTAAAAAAAAAAAGATAAATTGATGCATAGTTATATATAAATCAGTCAAATGATTTTCTGAAATATGGCATTTACTGTAATATATATTCAATTTTCCAGTCTAAATACAACCAAAAAGCAATCAATAAAATAAAAAAAATTATCAATTTTTATCATCATTTTGAATTTATCAATATATATATAGATAGATATCTCTATTAATCAGCATAAAATAATCTATCTATTAATCAGCTGCATAAAATATACATTTATATGTCATTTTCTTTTAGACTCATTACTCTTTTCACAACACATTTAAGCATGCAATTTTATATTTATTTTAATATATATANTTAATAATTCTAAAATTATTATCCAAACAATAAGAACTACATAAGTAACTGAACTTGTATATTAACAGTTCTTCATAAAATCTCACTAACCTCAAAAATTAGTCCAGAAGTTGTCAAAATTATCATCTTTCAGAAAGATGGTAATTTTGACAACTACTAGATAATTTTTGAGGTTAGTGAGATTTTATGAACTTCTATATTTGAGCACATGATGCAATTCAATGCAGAACGTTAAAAATTCAGTTTCTTTCTTTCAATCTTACATAAGATCATGTAACCATCACTTTCTAGATCATTATCAAAATAATATAAATTACAAAAGTAACCAAGGTCAAAGCATCTTCTAGAAGTCAAAGTTTATAACTTCAGAATAGAATATAAATTTAATTATACATCTACCTATTTACCATTTAGTTGTTAAGCACTTTGTTCAGTGTTCCAATTTTAAACTTATTTGGCTAATTGAACTGTTTAACATTAAATTTTTATTTTTTTTTAGCACAGTGGAGCAATAAAAAACACTTAAAAATTCATAATCTAGAAACAAAAAAAAATTCTAGTCGCCATAAATTCATATTTATAAAAATTTTTTCTAAAAAAAAAACATATGAATTTCTATAATCAATTTCCTTCTTACATTCGATTATTTTCTACAAAATTCAACAGTGCTTTATAAATTAGTTTCCGCCCATAAGAATGACTGGATCGAAGTTAAAATCGTTCATAAAAAACATGAAAGAATCGCTCAAAACACGTTATAAATTGATCGGAAAGAAGATAGAAAAATTCAATAAAATTTCTTGTAATCTCGTTAAGTATTTGACATATTCGTGACTGATCACATTTTCTTTCTTTTCTTTATTTTTGTGGTCTTTCATGTGCAATACAGATACTAATTTAAAATTTCGATCAAACCACCTACGTAAATTCACAATTCTAAATGAAATTATTAAATATTTATATATATAATAAATATTTATTTCCATCGAACTAATAATTTTAAATCAATTTAAATAAAGCTATTTTTTTATTATTTTAAAATATAATTCATAAATCATTTAGAATGACAATTGGGTAAATGATATTTCCAAGATGTTCAGTTTTCTATTATAAAAATTGGAGAAATGCCAACTATTTTCATTCTACAGAGTTTTTGGAAGAGGAAAAAATTGATATTTGTTAAAGCTGAATTGCATATATCACACTGAAAAATGATCATTTGAAGTCACACATCTGAGACAATTCAATAATTTCCCACAATTAGCATTTATTTACAAATACCATCGATTTTATTCAAATGTCCGTTTGTCGGTTAGGTTAATCGTGCCACATGCTAGCAACTGTCAAAACAGCTATAAAATAACTATTCGTGTATACGAGGTTATTAAGCTGAATAAAACATTTGAGTATCATATAATGAGAAGTTATTTATTCTAGAATTATTATGAAATCAATTTCCGAACGGGTAGAACAATTTACCTTTGTACGTCGGTGACTAACCACCAAGCCCATGACCATCCTCCTACCACCATTCGTTTCTCTAAGCCACCACAACAGCCTCCTAGGATATTAATAGATACATAGATATATAAAAATACATAAACAAACGTATAAGGTAACAATTCAATAAATGCATAAATTTAATATGAACGGTTTTATGTTTAAATATTAATCAAAAGTAAATTTACATTCAAATAAACATGAATTTAATGTATTTAATACTACAGCTATAAATGCCATTATGACGACGATATTCGGTCGTTGTCCCGTTCTAGTAATCAATATTTCGGTAAATAGCATTTGACAGAATTTATAGGACCAATGCTATCGGTAAATTACTAATTACAAGCCCAAAACACTAGTCATTTGATATGTATTAGGCTATATGTTACTTAATATTAAATGTATATATAATATGCTTCTGATACGAACATGTTTGATATGCTCTTTCAAATCATAAGGTTAATGGCTTTATAATTTAAAGAAGCATATCATATATAAACCCTAAAAAAATGATATTTTTATTAAGCCTGCATATAACATAAAATATAGAACAATAAATTAAAGTATTTCCGGAGATCTCTTTTAAAAACTGAACTTTTCTGTTAAAAACTTTGAACAGTTTCCAAATGTATTTAATGAGGTTAAAATACATAAATGCCAGGGAAAAAAAATAATTTATACTAAACATAAGGCTAATAATTCATGTATTATTTATCACGGAAACTATGAAAGAGTTAAATAAGTTAATTTAAAGATCTAACAACGAAATGACGTTTGAATTTACTCGTTAGTTACTCGTAATTAACGACAATACTCGAGTAGGAACACTTTTTTTTAATTGATATTGAGTAATCAACTTGACTAATTATAAAAGTTCTAATATATTAACACTTTAATCTGAAAAAGAAAAAAAATAAATTGCTTTTTTAAACAAAAATTTCAAATATAATAGCATAAAAACATAAAAAAATAAAATTAAAAGTAACCAATTAGTGAAAGTAAGTTACAAAATTTGACCACTCATCATTCTTCATTAATTTTAAATTAATCTATTAAATAATTAGAATTGTATAGAATCATTTAAAATTTTTTTAATTAAATATATTATTCGAAGCTTAAAATTAACAATAAATGTTCGGAAATTTCATTAATTTGACGATTTCGTTATATTCACAGATAACTAATTTTATTCCTGTTTTGAAAACATGAAGATTATTGGTCTGTAATTACTTTATTAGCAATTTCCGTTTACTTACTCAAGCGGAACGGATTTCAACTACTTTACTTTTATGATTTCCTCCTAGCCAGGAGCATTCAAGTATTACGTAAGCAATTTCCATCATTTTTGATTTCATCTTCCCCACGTAAGCAATCGAAAGTACTGTGTTGATCCTCTAAATTATATAAAATTACGTTCATTTATATCTTTTTTAAAGTTTATTATAATAAGGGATGCCACAGATTTCCTTATGACAATTTAGTGCAATAAAGACATCAATACTTAAAATTTTGATAAAAATAAGAAACAAAAATAAATCATCATCAAATAGAAAAGAAGGATGTTTTTAGTTAAACAATTTTTAACGCACGAAAAATATGAATATTTATAAAGGTTTTTTATTGGTCTTTTTTTTCCTCTTAATAAATCATAGTTTAGTCTTCTTTCAATTCGAACTAGGAAAAAAAAACCATTTAATGCAGTTCATCAATAATTTTGGGTGTCAAATGAAAGAATTTGTTCTGTACGCTTGATTTACTTTATGGATTCATCATCATCAGAGCAAAAATGCATTACGTAAAGCCCTCTTCAAATAAGTAATCATATGATTTTTTCCGCCCCTTACCCTCTTAAATAGTTATTAATTAAACTGAAACTTTCCTTATCTAGATATTCACAAAGGGGTGTAAATATAAAAGGATGAAGTTATATATTCAAACTATATGCAAGATATTTTATGATGATTTTAAGAAGAATGGTTAAAATCGGTTTGAAACTACTGCTGTTCTTCTTTAAATAAATCATCTCGGTTAACTAACTTTTGGATCACATTATATGATTAAAATAAATAAATATGCATTATATTAAGAAGTTTTACAGATTAAGGTTAATAACATCAAACTATTAATGAGATATTTTTTAGCTTCAAACAAAAACTAACATTGTTTAGTTTCATCTTATTTTGTAATTTCATTTTTAAAAAAATCTACAAAATGAAAACAATAACGAATTTTGATTTACTAAACGTTAGATAAAAACTCACTTGTTTAAAAAAATATTTTAAACCTTTATGTAAATAATAGTTTATATTAAAATGCGTTATATTTATAAGACAAGGCAGAGCAGATAAGACTTCAGGAACTCATTACATCTGTAATAAATTAAGAACTAACTGTAAACGAATGAATTAGCTTGTGAATTGATTGCAATTCGTCTTAATGAAGTCATTTCAAAATTAATAATACTTTTTATACAGATTCTTTTGCTTTTATGCAACATTTTAGTTTATAGTTTATCTTGGTTTTAAGTCAATTTTACTAGCAATGAACGCCCATTATGTATAGTATACAGCATTACTAAAACAAATCGATACGTGGAATTTACATGCTTCTACTGTACTTCGAAATAACATTGTTTACTATAAATATTAAAGCTAAATTTCTGAAAAATTTTATATACTATTTATAAAAAAAAGCTTTGTACAGTACATTCATTCTGAAACTGGGTTGCAATATTATTCCTATAAAATTAATAATATAATTTGTCTTGTACAGTACAGGATAAGTAAACTAAAAATCTCTCTAAAAATACTTTCAAGTCAATATATCTATCACCTTAAATAAAATATTAAAAATATTTATATTTTAAAACCATGAACAAACCATAATACGGAATTAGTTTTATATATCTATTGAAGTGTATTTCTTTTCATAATTAATTCTCAAACTAAACAATGATGAATTAATATTATAGTCTTTAAAATTTTAAACCAATAATACGACTATAACTTAAATTTCAAGTAGTACAAATATTTATTAATTTGTAATGGAACATAATTTCGATTTATTTATTGAGTATAACATTAAAAATAAATCACGAATATTGGAAATTACAAGCAGACATTTTCATGTGTGATGTATAAACTCGCAAACTTCCCAATTTATTACATAAATGTATATATTGATATTATTGCCGGAAATCATAAAATTTAAATTCTGCAATAAATTTTGATTTTATGGTTCTACACAAATGTGTAAGGATAGTTTATCATCATTACAATTAAAATGTGTAAGAGTGTAAGAACTGCATATTCACAGAAATTATTTTGTAATTTGAAGAAAATATAACTAAAATTATTTTCGATAGGATTAACTATTTTAAAGAAAGAGTGATTTATTATATTTTTAATCAGTGATGTGTAAGAGAGGTTTCTCCTACTAAGAATTAAGTAACTTTTTATTATAATCTGAATAATTAACTCTTTCAGTTAATGATATTAATAAAATTTTATAATCTAATTTATTGCAGATGATTTAAACCTCCAAAATAAAAATAAATTGTAGACAAAATGTTTAACCTGTAAGAAAATTAAAAAATAATAATATTTTATTATAAAGAAATGGGTAACTACATCAAATTATTTAAAATTTTTAAACTTATATAACAATAAAGAAATTTAAAATCAAATAAGTTACATGTAATCATTTTATACATTTATTTTTAAAATTTAGCTGAACGTTACAATTGGGATCTATATACATTTCATTAATATTTAAATATTTATGGTTATTTTAATGAATGATCCTATTGTTTAAATACATGTTTAATAAACATTCCAATATCTACTTTTTAATAAATAAAATTCCATTGAGAGTAAAAACGATCAAATAATTTTATAAAGTATCTAAATTATTTTTTTATCAATTTTTCATTAAAAGTTTTGGAAATAAATGTTTTGAAGATTAAAAAAAACAATTTAATAAAAAATTAAATATTAAGATGTTTTGGATATCAATTTTAGTATTTAACAAAGAAAAATTAATTTTTAAGATGTGTATCAGTATAATTATATTATAAAGTATATTTATTTTGCTTAAATAATATTTAAAATACTGTATTACCGGTAGTAATATAATTTGGGCTTATTTTCTTATATGATAATATTTAGAAAATTTCCCAGTATTTATAAGGAGTTTTCTAAATCATCACTTTTTACTTAAAATTAATTAAATAAATGACTGTGAATTACAGTTTACATATAAAAAAAAATCATTAATGAGGCAGGATATTAATTTCATTATTTTAATTAATAACAACCCCAATACTTTGACTTTCTAATAATATATATATAATTATATTATAAACATTTNGAAATAATTCAATTTTGTGTCAGGTTGGCCTCCACTAGGATCCTGAATGTAAACAATCCAACTTACTATATAGATTAGACAGAGATGAGTAATAAAAGAATCTTTGTTAAAACAGTCTGAAGACCTCTATTAGAAAGAAATGAATGTAATTTCAATAGTGATCTGCTATAGAACTAATAATGTATAGAAAATAAAAGGGTGGACAAGTGCCAAATAGGCAGGATAACATCTAAACTATTTTATTTACCTACGAACCAATCAAGCTTTGAGTTTTAATTAATCAATTTCATCTATTAACTATTGGTCATTTCGAATTTTTGAAAAAAGATTTATTAATTTTATTGGCTATTACCAGAATAAGGCGTATACTTATGTAAAGTAAACAAATACATCACTAAATGTACTTTTCTGTTATGTTTATACCTAACTTTTTAACACATAAATAACAAATTTACTTTATATTTTCACTCAAGATATAATTACACATATAAAGTAACCATTTTATATATTTAATTACCATCTATTGATAGAATTGAATGAATTTTGAATAGTTAACGAGAGTTTAATATACAAAAACAAACTCAATTAATATATAATGGGTAATTTAAATCAATGAAACAGAACGTACCTGAAACAATTAAGGCTTCGTTTGGCCCGACCGTGTAGATATTTCCCATTTTTTGCGAAAGAGGAAAGATCTTTTTCGTTCTCGACTCGAAAAATAAAATAAAATAAAAAAAGAAAAAGAGGGATAAAATTTCAAAATAGAAGCTTGCAGTTAAGCCTAACTTTCAGCATCGCTTTTGTATATAGAAACGAATTTAATCGAGAGAAATAATCGAAAAAGGAACTTTTATAACTTTATCGATAAAATATTTTAACCTTCTTCCATTCTACATATGTTAGTTTGATCACAAACTGATGATATATTTGAGTTGTCCCTCATCCTGACGATCTGTCTCTTGGAGTTACCATAGCAACCGTACAAAATGGGCGTTGCTCTGTAGAAAAAGGTCGATACCAGGGGGAGACACTTTCCTGATTTTATTGTTCGTTCGTTTAATTTTTAATTTTTTTTTCCTAATAATGAATTTTAAATTATACCGTATATTAGAATTATAGTAGAGCGTCGATTATCCGAATCAATTGGGGATTGGGGTTGTTCGGAAGATCGGTGTTTCGGATAACCGATTATATACGAAAAAATATATTAATTTATTATCCCGTGTTGAAATTTTTCTCCGTTGCGTGTCGCTTCGCGTTGAATTTTCGTCGATGTTAAGCCTAACGAAGACTATTGTATCGTTAAAAATTATATTTTTATTTTGTACAAACGAAATAAATATATTGAAAAATATAAAAACAATAAAAAATTATACTTCAGAAGTTAATTTAGTATCAAAAACGTAAAATATTTGAGTAGCCCAAGACATAGCCAAAGATTG